AGACCTCCTCTGTCCCTCTCAACCGAATTTCTTCCCTAATCGCGTTAAGCTCACGTACCATCCAAAAATGGGACCAGCAAAATAAGTACGACACTTGAAATTACGATTAGTCAAGAAATCTTATGTTCTTTTGTATTTGATATTTATAAGAATTCATTTTAAACTTTGTTCGGTAATTATTTTATGAATGAAAAAATATAAATACAGTATATCAGTGTGGAGGAACCGTCGGTACGTTTAACGTTAGAACAGTATTAGATCTGATTGCTCGAGTTTTGGCAAGCTGCGGATGAGGTGGGGAAAAAAAAGAATGAGTATCTCAGGGGAGAAGCGCGAATCTTTGGTAGCACAGCGGCGACAATCGCACGGTGACCGCCCCTGCGAGCGTAATCTTATCGCGGAGGAGAGCGATGCGATGCGGCGAGTCGAACGCGTATACGTAGAACGCGAACGCAGAACGCAGCGGCGACGCGGCGCGCCGGACCGGAGTCAACGAACGATAAAAAAAAGCGCGTAGCCATACGCGCGCGGCCGCGACACAAAGAATAAACTCTGTTCCGTGCACGGCTCGCCTCGCCCTCCTTCCTTTCCTCTCCGTTCCGTTCCGTTCCGTTATTCCGTCCCGCTCTCGCTCTCTTCGCCTGGTCATCCACGCCGCGGAGAGAGAGAGCCGTGCCGTGTGTGGGCGCGCGAGCCGCCTCTCCTCTTTCCACTCCCGCGTCCGCGTTCTCCTTTTCTTCTTCTTCTTCTTCTACTTCTTGTTCGTTTTCTTCGCCGCGCCGCGCCGACCGCCTCGCTCGTTGGGGTAGGCCATGGCGGAACCGCGCGGCGAATGACAAGGAAGGAGGGAAAAAAGAAGGAGAAAGATGAACTCTGTACAGCGCGCGTATAGAACACAGAATGCTCCGTGATGCGCGCAAACCGTGCGCAAAAATGTTCGACTCCCCGTGCCCGTTTCGTATAATGTTCAATTCAATTGAGGATCAACGCTCTTCCGGCGTAACGATTCAGGGATATGAGAGACGATTTAATTATTTACCTTCTGAGATCACGCCTGATCATGTCTTTTAGAAACTAGCAGAATTATTCATAATGAATTGCTATTTCGACGTCTCACAGTAATTTCCAAACAACAGGACTTGAGGAAATAGTATCCAGAATCGATTTGATTTAGATATCTTACATGAACGTAACGTTAAATCCTGTGATCCTTATACAAGTATTACTACGTATGAAACACGATATAAAAAAAGTTTATGGTAATTGAACACGAGAGATCGATAGACACTTCATATGGAAAAGTGCATGTTTAAAAACGATTTGGTTATTGATAAGATTGAGCCTATAAAGTGAGTAGAATAGGATTTCTTTGAAATATGTCTCTCTCATTTTTCCCCCCCGCTGTTCACCTTAGATTCGCAACAGTTTCACCGAAGATCGACCAATTCGATTAGGAAGGATCTTAACAGCCGGCACGGGTCCCGGCCGAGCCGGGCCGAGCCGTTATTGTTAGCGATCATGCGATCCGAAAATCATAGAAAATTACTGAAAAGCCAGGAAACTTTGTTCCGCCGCGCGGATCGGAGAAGGTATGGTTGCCCCTGGACTTGAGATGTCGTAATTTTGCCTTCGCCATAACGGCTACGCGGCACGGAAGTTCGCCTCGCCTAACCCTTCTCCACCTCCACCTCCTCTGTCTTTCATCCTACAGGGTTTTCTTCTTCGACTCGAAACAGAAAGCTCTCTCACCCCCCTTCGGTTCAATTCCCTTTCCTTTCTAGCCTCCCATCCCCCTTTTCCGTAATAGTAGAAGGGTTAGTGAAACAATGGCACGCGCGCGAACACCGTTATTTAAATAATACGATGGAACCTCTCCTCTCGCGGCAAAAAATAAGTAACGGAGGTTCTCGAGGGGATGCGAAATCCAATCGTGAGAAAGATGCCAAAACCATAATCCGCTCACACGCCTTAAGAACGCTCGCTATCTTCAGTTCGTTTCATATAAAATAGTTTTAGAATCATTGAAATAAATGATTAAATAATCAGAATAATTTGCGATTTGCTGTACATTTACATATAATATGATTA